CGCGACATGGCTTCCTGCCTGAATCATGGAATCACAGAATCCCGGTGGCTGGAAGAGACCTCAGGAGTCATCGAGTCCAGCCCCCTGCCAAAGCAGGACCAACCCAACTCAATCATCCCAGCCAGGGCTTTGTCAAGCTGGGACGTAAAGCCCTCTAGGGCTGTCCTTCCATCCCCACACTAGGGAGGAGAGGCTGAGGGATTTGGGTTTGTTTAGTCTGCAGAAGCGAAGAGTGAGGGGGAATTTGATAGCAGCCTTCAACTTCCTGAAGGGAGGTTCCAAAGAGGATGGAGAAAGGCTGTTCTCAGAAGTGACGGATGCAGAACAAGGAGCAATGGGCTCAAGTTGCAGTGGGGGAGGTCTAGGTTGGATATTAGGAAAAACTATTTCCCTAGGCAGGTGGGGAAGCACTGGGATGGGTTTCCTAGGGAGGGGGTGGAATCTCCATCCCCAGAGGTGTTTACGTCTCAGCTTGACAAAGCCCTGGCTGAGTTGATTGAGTTGGGGTTGGTCCTGTTTTGGGCAGGGGCCTGGAGGCTGTCCACAGCCTTTCTGTAATCCTGGACTCAGTACTCCAGGTGTGGCCTCCCTAGTGCCGAATGAAGGGGAAGAATCACTGCCCTAGCTCGGCTGGCAATGCTCCTCCTAATGCACTTGGAGGAAATCCTCCGTGGGGGCCGCAGGGGAAGTTTGGTCTCCGTGGGCCACCCAGTCCTGGGCTTCTGCCAGCAAAGATGCCAATCCGTTCCAGGAGCAGCGATGGCTTGGAAGATGTAGAGAGTGGGCAGCTGCATGTTGTCTGGCCGACGTAGGCTAACCTCGCAAGGGCCAGCAACAAAAATGCAGGTGAGGAGTCGGCGAGGAAAAGGAAGTGGGATAAGACCCTTCGACAGAGTTCGGAGGAAGCTGGGAGCCAGCCCAGGAGTTCTCCGAGAGGGGACCCTGACAAACACCAGCAGCCAAAGGGCAAAACTGGAGGTCAAAGGGATTCTAGGCAGATGTGCTGCAGGAACCCCCAGAGAGACATTGCTACGGATGTGCAGACAGCTTTCTGGGGAGCTGCTTTAAAGAAAACAGCCTGGCAAGGCAGGCACATGATGGGTCTGAGCAAGGTCACACTAGTTTGCTTCTTGTTGCCAGTCTTACTCACTACACTCTGAAGGCATCTGTGTTTCCCTTGCTTCCTCCATGAATGTATCCAGCTCTTTTTTGAACCCTGTTACGTCCTAGTCTTCCAAACATCCTCTGGCAAGGAGTTCCACAGGTTGACTATGCATTGTGTAAAGAAATACTTCCTTTTGTTTGTTTTTAAACCTGCTACCTATTCATGTCATCTGGTGACCCCTAGTTCTTATGTTATGGGAACAAGTAAATCTCTTTTCCTTATTCACTTTCGCCACACCCATCATGATTTTATAGACCTCTGTTGTATTTCTCCTTTTCTAAGCTGGAAAGTCCCAGTCTTTTTAATCTCTCTTCCTATGGCACCTGTTCCAAACCCTTCATCATTTTTGTTGCCCTTTTCTGATCTTTTTCCAATGCTAAGGTATCTTTTTTTAGATGAGGTGTCCACTTCTGTATGCAGTATTCAAGATGTGGGCGTCCCATGGATCTATACAGAGGCAATAAATATTCCCTGTCTTATTATGTATCCCTTTTTTAATGATTCCTAACATTCTGTTTGCTTTTCTGACTGCTGCTGCACACTGAGGCTATGTCTACAGGCTTTTTGAGGAAGAGATCTTCTGCAAAAACTTCTTGCGCAAGAGTGTGTCCACACTGCCAGAGCGCATCAAAAGTGATGCACATTTGCGCAAGAGAGCGTCCACACTGCATGGATGCTCTCTCGAAAGGAAGTGCTGATAGCTATCCACAGAATAGCCACCAGGGCACCTGTGCTTTTTCCTCTTTCCTGTTTTTGTGCAAAAAACCCTGTTGCCCATCCACACAACCTTTTTGTGCAAGAACTCTTGTGCAAAAAGGAGTTATTCTTCACAGAAGGAGGAATTCCTACACCAGAAAAAATCCCTCTGTTCTTTCGCTTTACTTGCGCAAAAACACGCTTGAGGTGTGGACACTCTGTGGCTACGTCTAGACTGGCATGATTTTCCGCAAATGCTTTTAACGAAAAGTTTTCCGTTAAAAGCATTTGCAGAAAAGAGCGTCTAGATTGGCACGGATGCTTTTCTGCAAAAGCACTTTTTGCAGAAAAGCGTCTGTGCCAATCTAGACGCGCCTTTTGCCAAAAAAAGCCCCAATCGCCATTTTCGCCATCAGGGCTTTTTTGCACAAAACAAATCTGAGCTGTCGACACTGGCCCTTTTGCGCAAAAGGACTTTTGCCTGAACGGGAGCAGCATAGCATTTCTGCAAGAAGCCCTGATTTCTTACATGAGATCGTCAGTGTTCTTGCGGAAATTCAAGCGGCCAGTGTAGACAGCTGGCAAGCTTTTCCGCAAAAGCAGAAAAACTTGCCAGTCTAGACACAGCCAGTGAGTTTTTGCACAAAGATGGCTGCCGTGTAGCCTGAATGGATGTTTTCAGAGAACTATCTGCAATGGCACCAAGATCTCTCTTTTGAGTTGCATAATCCCCTTGCCAGACTGCACAGATGGGGGAAGCCAAATGAGGATCCAGGGACCCTCACAGTGTAACTGGTACCTTAATGGGGTGTGTGCCACATGGCCCGGTCAGGATCAGGGCTGCTACACATATGACTGTAGAGGAGAAGGCATGACCTGCCCTCAAGGGCTTCGAGTCCCACGGCAGGCAAGTTGGAGCGAGCGAGGGTGATGAACAATAGAAAGGCGCGGAGACGGGCGGGCTAGGGCGATGGTTATCAGCCCCCGCCGCTCCGTGGGGAGAGGCACCACTCAACAGTGCTGATTCATTCCCAGGCGGCGGTTTTGTGGGTTTGTTTTCCTAACCCGGCCGCTGGTACTTGACAGGCACGCCGTGTTCTGGGACTCGTTCCACCAAGGCTGCTCCCCGAGTCAGCCTTCCTGACCTCAGCAGCAGAGCAAGGAGCAGGCGGAGGCTTTCACCGTATAACCTGGCCCATCTCAGAAGGAGGGCCGGGAAGCAGGCCTGCTCATTGGAGTCCTTTGGAAAGGACTGGATGGATCATAGAATCATAGATCACTAGAACTGGAAGGGACCTCGAGAGGTCATCAAGTCCAGTCCCCTGCCCTCATGGCAGGACCCAGTACTGTCTAGAGTCGACCATCCCTGATAGACATTTATCTAACCTGCTCTGAAATATCTCCAGAGATGGAGATTCCACAACCTCTCTGGGCAATTTATTCCAGTGTTTAACCACCCTGACAGGTAGGAACTTTTTCCTCATGTCCAACCTAAACCTCCCTTGCTGCAGTTTAAGCCCATTGCTTCTTGTTCTATCCCCAGAGGCCAAGATGAACAAGTTTTCTCCCTCCTCCTTATGACACCCTTTTAGATACCTGAAAACCGCTATCATGTCCCCCCTCAATCTTCTCTTTTCCAAACTAAACAAGCCCAGTTCTTTCAGCCTTCCCTCATAGGTCATGTTCTCTAGACCTTTCATCATTCTTGCTGCTCTTCGCTGGAGCCTCTCCAATTTCTCCACATTTTTCTTGAAATGCGGTGCCCAGAACTGGACACAATACTCCAAGGCTGTGTCTAGACTGACAAGTTTTTCCGGAAAATCAGCCGCTTTTCTGGAAAAACTTGCCAGCTGTCTACACTGGCCACTTGAATTTTCG